CCGCCCCCTGCTGATGCGGGCCCCGCTGTCCCACAGGCTCCCCGCTGCCCTCGGAGGACTGGCTCATCAGCCAGATGTCGATCCAGCGGTCGCTGTCGGTGGGGGAGGACTGGTCGCAGGACGTGCAGAGCGACCCCCTGACCCAGCTGCGCTACTCCTACCGGGTGGTCTGCAGCGAGAACTACTATGGCGAGAGCTGCTCCCGACTCTGCAAGCGCCGCGACGACCGCTTCGGACATTACGTCTGCGAGGCGGACGGTAGCCTGGCCTGCCTGCCGGGCTGGACCGGCGAGTACTGCACCGAGCGTAAGTGGCCCTGTAAAGCTCACAGAAGCCTCAGCGTGTTAAGGAGCATCACCCGCTTTGGCATCCCTCAGTCTGTGCTGGCGGGGCATTGGTGTGGGATGGGGATGATGCCCAAGAGGCCTTCGAGAAAACGCAACTCCCCCCAAGGCATCAGGGAGCTTATTTGATGAAGGGACCCAAAAGCGCATCCCCTTGCCCAATTCCTCCAGAGCGCCTGACCCTGGTTGTCGCTGTCTTTGCGGTCAGTCCTTAAAATAGGGTGGCTGCAACAAGGCTGTAACAAAGCACTGCGTGTGGTTACCCAGTAGACGCTTGGGGCCATGTTTTCATGCTGACCTTTCCACTCCCTGCCTGGAGAGAGAAAGCTCCACGCTGAGGACTTTGCCCCCCCTTGGCTGCAACTACCAACGCTGTGCTTCACCTCCGTGAGCGGTAGCAGCAAAGAAAGAGCGAGCAGAGAAAGGATCCTGGCTGGTATCCCTGAATCGGCGATATCTGTTCCAAGATAAAATGCTAGCAGCTTGCCCACACAAATGCTTCCACCGTTCCTGCTGCCAGAGGAGATGAGACAGGTGTTGCAGTGTAGTAGTGGGAATCTTTGCCGTGACCTCAGGGTCCTGTTGGGTTTTTTTTCAGTCTTTCGTTAGTGCAAGTCAAAGCCGCCTCCTCTTGCTCCTTTTCTAGCAAAGAGTTGCAAGAGTTCATATTTGTTGTATAAACAGAAAAACTAAAGGACAACTTTTCAAATGTTGGCTCTCCTTGTTCACTTCCTCCTGCTCCAGAACTCCCCGTACTGAGAACTTTTAAAACAAAGCTTTGAAAGTGCAAAACTGGTTTTTAAAGTGGTTGTTTTTTTTTTTTTTAAAAAAAAGATGGCATTTCCCCTTTTAAAAGTGTATTCTGTAGTGCCATGTGTATTTACTTAAATATTTCTGCTTTTTTATGTTCTCTTTACAGCCATCTGTCTGTCTGGATGTACTGAACAGAATGGATATTGCAACAAGCCCGGAGAGTGCATGTGAGTAGATGGCAATTGCAATCTGAACTTCAGTTAAAATGTCACCTTGTAATAGAAACTTAAACTCTTTTCCATGTCATTAATGTTTTAATTTGACTTTTCTTTTAGCTGTCGTCCCGGTTGGCAAGGCCGCTACTGTGATGAATGCATCCCCCATATAGGCTGCCGCCACGGGACTTGTAAAACACAATGGCAGTGCATATGTGATGAAGGATGGGGTGGCCTCTTCTGTGATCAAGGTTAGTTCTGAAGGTTGTGCTTACGGCTCTAGGCTGGATACTCCTCAGTACTGGATGAAGGAATCTGACCCATTGGATCTAGAATTAAACTTACGCAAGGCAGCGGTTCATAGGCATCAGTTTGTACTGCCGCTGTCTTAGGTACCACTTCTTGTATTTGTAGCAATTTTGTTTGAAAACAAGCAAACCTTTTTGGTAGCTGCAGCTTTCCTCTCGCAGAAAAGGTTTCTCTTTTGGGGAAAAAAACCCCAACAACCTGGATGAGTGTTGAACAGGCAAGTTTTCTGCCTGCTCAAGCCAAGTTTAACTTATTCCCTGTACAACTATAACAATTTACTAAATGCTTTCCAGCAGCAGTAAACACCATCATTTGGGCCTTCCTTATTTTGCATACAAGGAAGTTAACTCATGTGATAAGTCTGGAGCATGAGAGAAAAATCATGTAAGCAAGAATGAAAAGTACAGGTTCCATTTTAAGGTACACCGGACCACTTCCACCTATTCAACCCATTGAATCACTGAACCGTAGCCAGCTGAGCAGTCATGTCCTCAAGGCCATATATGCATTGCTGGCACAGAGATCATTAAGTCCTCAAAGCAAGCTAAGTCTTTTCAAGACAGTTATAGGATTAAGATGGCGAAGTCCGAATTAAGCAGGAAAAGTAAAGTCGCACATTTATTTCTGCTTGTAGTTATCTATTAACCAGTTGTATTCCAATTACTCTCTGGTATTTATAGAGACAATAAAGATTTTCTACTTATGTCCTCTGAACTTGCGTGCTTAACCTCTGTCTCAAATTTAAAGGGGAAAAAAAATGGACCGTCAAGCTTGGCAGAGCATTTAGACAGTTTAAACTACTAACGTTCATAACAAGAGAGCATGGTAAACAATCAATAAAAGATTTCTAGTGTTTGTTTAAATCTCCAAGCCAAAACATCTTTATTTCCTCCCTGCCTCCCCAGATTGTGCCTCAGAGCACACCTTTTAAAGATGGGACTCACTGTTTTAGTACATGACATGTTGTGCACAACCCGTGGCGTGTCTTGCGGAGAACATGCTTATGAAGGACGTTTTGCAACTTGGCATCTAAATCCCATTGCAGCTAACGGGTTTACGTGCACAAAAAAGGGAGGGTATACCAAAGCGCTAAGAAAGTTAAATTTATGCCAGGTGTCTCAAAATTCAGAGTTCATGTATTACAGTGATAGACGCAGAGAAATATCTGAAATCAATGATAATCTGAAACATATGATTATTGCTGATAATAACCTGGATAATAATCTCCGTATTCCTATTGATAGCAAAATGAAATACTTCATTGGAAATTCAAATTGTTGACTAAAGCGTTGTTGTATGAATGCCTTTTCCCAGCTGTCAAAGATGTTTACTCTAACTCCTGGTATCTTTGCAGATCTGAACTACTGCACTCACCACAGACCATGCAAAAATGGAGCAACTTGCATGAACACCGGTCAGGGCAGCTACACGTGTTCTTGCAAACCTGGTTTTACTGGTGTTGACTGTGAACATGAGATCAGCGAGTGTGACAGCAATCCCTGTCGGAATGGCGGTAGTTGCACGGTAAGGGCATTTTAAATGTAAAGTCTTTGTGTGAAGCAAGCCCCAGTATACCTTTTCAGAAATGGTTCTGTAACAACGTAATGGGAATTCGATAGTACACAGGTTCATTACCGACACTCACAACTATCATACTGAACCCTTCCCGAGAGGTGTCAGGGGAGGAAGTCTGTTACGGGAGGAGATGTATCATCTAGATTAGAACTAGTCAACTGATCCTTAGGTTTCTGTGGCAGCCATTATGAGAGCTTGGCAAGATCCAAGGTTGGTGAGGGAGCAGATCTGGAAAAAATAAGCTTCTCAAACCAAGGTTCATACAGAAATGCACTAAGTCTGTATTTTCAGAGCAAATGAAAGAAAACTTCTGCTTTCTGCTATGGCAGCGTAGTGACAGACAATACGAGGGCAATCAGCTGAAACCCTTTCTGTGAAATGGGCTTTTGCATTTTTATTTTCCTGCAGTCTAGTGTTTCAGTGGGTTTTCAGAACCCGGTCAATGACTGCTTCTACTTGTTGATAAAGACTGATCGATTATACATATCAAACATAATCTGATGCATTTTTAGATTAAAGCTAATGGCACAAGACCCTAGCTGCCTTCTCCCGAGGCTTTGGACATACAGTACTTGGAAAGAAGAAACAGTTTTGTTGTGATCTAAGTGGTGGGACTTATCTATAGCAAAGCAACGTAAGCCCCTGTAAAGAAAAAAAGGGCTCTCATACCAAGGATCAACAGCCTGA